GTCATCATCGATTGGGATCATTTTAATTATCATTATTATTATTCATTATTATTATTATTTGTTATGTATTGATATTAATAATTTTATATTCACCGATTACTTATTATTATATATATTTATTATTTAATTAGAGGATATTATGTATTAATGTATTGATAATATCATTATTAACTCATTACCGTAGTATTATTATTGCTACCAGTCGGTGGATGTGAATCATATCCAGTATTAGTATTTATTTTTCATTATCAGTATTTATTGTCGTAAGTCATTATTTGTTGTTGTATTTATAATCATGACAGATAGTGGAATATAAATTACTATTATGATTATTATCATTAGTTATGATTATGTATGTAGTCATTAGTATCATTATTATCACATTTATCATCATCATCATCATGGCCGACCATAATGATTAATAGTAACAACGAGATGATAAAAAATAACAGACAAATTGTAGTAGTAACGTGTGCATATCAATGATAACTGAATTGATGATAACTACTCAGTAATTTGATGCCACTGAATATTCACTATTGTTCCAACACCAACGAACTCACTACAAACCCCCCCCACCCACCCAGCGCCGACCCAGGGCGAGCGGAGAGAAGCTTAGCCTGCAGCCAATCAGGTATGTCTAAAAAAAAAAAAAGATTTTGAAGAAAAGAAGAAGTGAGAAAAACATCGTACTTAGTCATTGCCCAGGCGCCTCTGGGGGGTCTCGTTCTTATCTATATTCGCTACCTAGTGGACTTCTGGTCTGTTCCCTTTCTTTGTTTTCTCTTCCTTTGGTTTTTGTTCTTAATGCTTTTAACTGTGTTTTTTGCGTTCACTGCTCTCTCTTCGTTGTCGATAAACACCGCAGAAATTCTTGTGTTGTATAACTATATTGTAATGTCAGAATATTTCTTATTTAGTTACCTCACTTACCTTAGTTCATCAAAAGTTATACATTTTCTCATCTCTAGTACATCTCCTTCTCTCTCTCTTTCTTCTCCTCTCTTACACACGACACAGGAGACCACAGCACACATCACAAGAGCAAGCGGGGAACTGAACGATAAAACGAACACACGATTGGGCACGACGAAGACGATCACACACACACACACACACACACAGCACGACATGATTAATAAGATAATAAATAAAGATAGAGTTATTGTAATTATATTACACACATTAACNACATATATATATATATAATATATATAAATATAAATATGTATATATATATATAATATATATATATATATATATATATATATGTATACACATATAAATATATATAAATACATATATGCATATATATTATTATTATTATCATTATGACTATCGTTATCATTATTATCGTAATCGTTTGTGTTATTAACATGATTCTTATTATTATCATTATTTTCATTGGCATTATCATTAGTATAAGCATTATTAATTTCATCATAATATTCATCATCATAATAATCATAATCACCATATCTATCCTGATCATTATCAGTATTATCATAATCGCAACTATTTGCATTATCACGATATCTCTAACAGTAAACAATAATAAACGACTAAAGATGATATTCATCATTCCTTTATCTTACAGGGAATGTTGATCAAGATTTACTCTTGAATCGTGAATCAAATCAACAACTGAAATTACTTGTAATTTTGACGACACCCGCCTTGACCCCCCACCCCCACCTCCCCTTTAAGCATCGCCGTCAAGATTTCGGGAAAAGCTCGAGGAACCTTGATGACCTCACAGGGGCACTCTCTAGCTGGCACCGTTCCGCGGCTCCCGGTTGTCTGTGTAGTGTCTTTTTCTTTACTTTTTTTTTTCTTTTCTTTTCGGGGGTGCGTTTAAGGAAATTTTTAAATAGTTGGCCAATATATAGTAAGGGTATAATTTTGTAACATGTAGGAAAATAATGCATAAAATCCCAAAGTGCAGTCAACCAAAATGGCTCTCCTGTAAAGACCAGTGAATATTACACCTCTGGCTCCTCTTTTAGTTTTCCTCCTCCGTGCAATTGCTTTCCCTCTGTCTTTCCTTATGTCACATTTGTCTGTTCAGTTCACTCTCGTTTATTCATTCATTAGCCCTCTCTTTTTCCTCTCCCCCTCTCATTCTTTCAATCTTTCTCTCTTCCTTTCCCTTGCTCATTCCTTCGTAATTTTTTCCCCTATGGATTGATACGTCCATTCTCTCTTTTTGTTTCCTGAAATTCATTTGTCAAATGACGCATAAACAGGATTTCACAAAATGAAAATGAGATTATCACCTATAACTAAATTTGGTAATAAGAATATTGATAATAAACCAGTAAAAATCATTAATTTGTTTAGTGATGATAAAAACACAATATGATGAAAATGATGATAACGAACTAATAAAAAATATTTGAATAGTAAGTAGTTGTGCTCGTTATGGTATTGGTAATTCCAAAAATTGATGATACTGAAACTGATCACAATAATACGTGACAAAACTGTCATGAAAATTATGATTAACACAATTATCAACAAAACTAATATTGGTAATATCAGTAACTATACCCCTAATCATCTTAATTATACAAACACATGAGTAAAACTATCATTAATCTTAGTTTCAATTACGGAAATAATGGTAATGAAAAGTACAGTCGTTTAGATGCTAAATATAAAGTAAACAAAAGAGTCAACATGATTCATGACGACCTCACTGACAATAACGATATCTGTATGCTTGCGGTTCAAAGAATATGTGTTACACGTGTGATATTGATTGTGGAAATGGAAAACAAAGCAATATGTACCGAGGCAATAACGAAGATATGGTAGACCTTGAAGCACCTCGATAATAGTACAATGTAGTACAAAGTTAACAGCAATAGTATAATAAATGAAATTTACAATTATGATATTAATCATAGTGATAAAAATAAATCACAATAAGGACAATGACCATACTAATAATTGAAATAACAGTGATTTTAATATATGTATACATAATACCAACAATATTGATAATAACAACAACAATATTTATAACAAAAATAAAATATTGATGATGACGGTGATAAAAAAACTGCTTATAATGATAAAAATAATAATGATAATGATAATGACAAAAATAATGACGATAATCTATAAATTATGAAAATGAAAACTATAATGGCAATAGTAATATAACTATTACCGTTATAGCATTCCTATTATCATTATCATTATTAGTACTGTTATTATATTTGTCATTATTATCATCATAATTATCATTCTTATAATTCATCATTACGGAGCTAACGCCGACGGGGGCACATGGCCACATCAACCTTTGATTCCACCCATGAGTGTCCCTTACAGCGAGCCGTCAGGTAGGAACTCGGCTCGTCTTATGACTTCTTGGTCTGGCAGCCTAGAGTCATGAACTACACTATCAAGGTAAGTAAAGTTCTCTGTATCTTCAGTGTCCTCACCACAAACACATACCGACTGAACAAATTCTTGCAGGCCCCAAAGTCTTGGTCTTGAGACCTCTAGGCCCGGGGGCTTTGCTTCATTGTTGAATATATCTAGGGTTTTGAGACAAAGCAAATTCAAGGTCAATAACTTTAATGTTGCTCCACAATGACTTTGGACAGTAACTCTGCCAAGGTTCAAGTCCATCCAAGGCCAAGTTGAAAACACAGCCTTGTCTTACTCCTGAACTAACAGGGAAGAAGCTCTACAGCCCTCCACCTCACTTTACAGCATTGTCAGTACCACTACAGAGGATTGCTACTAATCCAATAATCTTTGTCGAAATTTCTCTCAGTCCCAGGATCTTCCAGAGTGATTCTTGAGGTCGAACTTATGATGGCGCTCTACAATGACTCAAAGCACCAGGATACGGTCTATTGCGAATATACCAGGAGGGAATCCGGATTGCTCCGGCGTCTAGTGATTTAGCCAGGTGGTCTCTAATATGTTTCAAAAGGATATGAGCAAAAACCTTACCTGATACTGAGCAGGGCAATGCCTCGGTGATTACTGCAGTCCTATCAATCCCCCTTCCCCTTCCAGAAAGGGATGACCACAACCCTCAACAGGTCAAGAGAAAAGGTAACAATCTGCCAGATGGTAGCCAGAACAGCATGCAAACCCCACACCAAAGAATCACCATCAGCCTTTAACAGTTCAGTTGGGATGTCATAGATAATCTCTGCTTTATCACTCTTC